TTTAATGATCAAGTTAAATGATGGATGGCTATCCGCAGGAAACCGTGCACCTCATTCATTGATGCTGGTCGGTACGACGTAATTTCAATTTCGAAGGCAGCCATACTTTGTCAGAATTTCAAACCAGTGTCACCCGGTTCTGAAGTAAACGCCAGTTATTATCATCATTAATGTCTTGTAGGATCGAAACAGTCATATCAATCGGTTATAGGGGAATAAATAATATCGTGTACACGGTCCTTAATCCCATTACTCAATTAGTAATGTGCAAACACGAATACTAACGGGAAAGATCTCATTTAAACATGAATAATACTGACAATGTGAACAGAGGTCTTAGAATACATTAGCTAAGATTCCAGATTTACTTTCAAAATCTAGGTTAATGGAATAATATCACTACTAATTTGTTGTAATAAACTCCACAGAAAAGTATTTCGTGGACAGCAAAACATTTGTCAGCAAAGTAGCTGTTATTTAAACAGTAAATCTGCCTGTACTTTAGGATGTAAACAACGCATACAGGGATATTCTTCTTCAATACTAATTTAAAATATCGAATACTATGACGAATTTCGTAAAAGGGAGCTATTCTAATTATGGCGGTAACTGAGTTAGCAACTGTGCATCAAAGTTTTCTGCTGAATTACTGCAAACATTTGAAGCGTGGCAAGCACAGTTCGTTACGACTTCACACTTCTTACTTTTTAAATTTAATATCTTTTAAACATAATACATCACTGTGTGTTGGTAGACGAATGCGTTATTAGCATAGTTAGCCGCATATCCGTTTAGATGGACAAACGCAAGTATCTGTTGTCAATGAATCAGTTACATAAAATTCATCAGTTGTAAAACAGTTGTGACCTTACAGTTGGACCTGATTGCCGTTCATATCGAGTCTTGATGTGTTGTTTATTAGAGTCAGAAATCAGATAAATTCGGTTGAAGAGTTGATAAAAAGTGTATTGTGTATTGCTGCTGTCATCTCTGGCCACTGCCAATCTCATAACATTAAAATGAAACCGAAGTAAATATAAATGCCCCCTCTTGAGGAGGATGTATTAGAGGTATTTCTGGTCACTTTGGTGAATGGAACATTTGACAGCAATAATAAATTCGAATCATGCAAATGTTATGACTCTTTAAAGGAGATAACAAAGATTTCAGTCCTCTTCAACAAATCTATGTTTCAATTTCAAGATAACACATTTTAATAATGCTTTAACACTTGCCTTTTCATACTTACACAAATCGGTTCCAGATGATTGCTGAGTTTTCACTTATGTTTGGTTATGCTGAAAGATAGAAGTTAAAATTTAATTTAACTTTTACATATCACTAAATCCAGAAAGTTAGTTTCATTTATGAGTAAATAAAAACAAATGTATTACTAAGCTATGGCTAAGAATCATGCAATAAGTAATATATATATATATGGATGACTTATGCTCAAACAACCTACCGCAAAGTTTAAAACGAAAGATTGTATCGGTAAATGAAGTAAATATTCATCAACAAATTTATGATTAATTGAATATTTGTGACTAACCGTTTAACAAATCTTTGATTCAATTTCATTATTGGCATGCTTCATTGACTGCCATTTATGATATCACGCAGATCACATATTGTGATCTGAATGATTTTCCTTTACGGGGGAAATTTCTGAATCTGCAACTGACGAATGATAGATACGATATAGGTACTATTCGTTCATCTGAGTGGCTGTCTAAGCTAAATTTAACCCGATACACCTCTGACAAGTTAATCCTCATGCGAGTTAGACCGATTTTCGGTGTTCCTGTCACTCTGATTTGACTGGTATGTACCGTTGCCTTGTGTGAGTAATCTGTTTACTGTTTTTATCAGTCAATACTATACACCATCATGCTGTTCAGATTAAAAAGATTTTGTTCATCATACCTAAGCCGATTAAACTGAAAAATTATACTTCAATAAGGCGTGTTTTTACTGCCACCCTTATGTTTAACTTTTTGCAGGTATACACATGACTGTTACATTATGTAACCAGTTATATGAAATGACTAACAAGTGATAACTAAATTGTTTATTTTAATCCTAACGAATGTTGAATGAGATCAGTATACGGCATGACAATGTGGTGCTTTATGCTGTTACATATTGTTGACTGATGAGTAAAAAGAAGGCAGTTGTTTTCAAACGACATACTAATGAAGAACTGAATAATCTTCTAATCTTTATTACGATAGCTAGTAAAACCTTTTTTCTGGTTATTACACAAGTGAATAACTACTACATCACAGAAACATTTTACACAATAGAAACGGACGCTAATGTAGTATTATTTACAGATGTGAATAATAAAATGTACTTGAATAGTCTTCAGTGAATGATACTGTATCATCGTGTGTTTTTATCGGAGAAAATTATTCTGTGATGAAATTATACCCCGTGATAGTGCCTAAATAATATTCTTATATCGATGAGTGAATATTAACTTACAACATTATAATCTCACTGATAATTAAACTGATGACTACGAAATCTCTTTATAAACGTCAAATAATACAAACTGATGTATAGAGCCGTTAAGTTTCATGTGATATACATGGGTTCAATGTAAATAGTTGTTATGAGATAAATTATCATTGATTAGAAATTAATTTGGTTATTTAAAAGGTTAAACCTTAGTCAGAAGCATTCGAGCTTTACTGAACGCTAGTCATGATATTTCAATCAGCATTTAATAAGGCACAATAATGGTGGGACCACATAGTGCAACGTTTTATTTTGTAGATTTTAAAGTTTCACACTGTATACATAACAGTCAATTTATTCGGATCAAAACTCAAAATCTAACCAAACACTAAAGTGTCACCAAGTATTGAAATCAGGTAGAGAACCATTCGAAACCAGCACCACAGTGCTGGATGTCTATTTCATCAACAGCACTCACCCACTGGGGTTCAAACTCAGGAACTTCTGGTAACTAGGTAAGCTCACAGACAATTCACCCCAGGGACCTGACTTAGTACCGCTTGAGTCCTAACTCTTTCCAAGACCCTGGGTCGAACTTCAGCAGCAGCGTACTACCGATGAATATCAGACTAGGACGAAACAGTTGTCCAGTACTCCCAGGTTTTCCGATGGTTCTTGTACTGATGTCAGCTCATGATGAAATCGTCCAATCATTCTTGAAAACACTGATGTTTGTCGTGAAACATGTTTATCGAAAAATCTAATCCATTAATCAAATCACACAGTTGTAAATAAAAGCTGAGGAAAGCGAAATACTGGTATCAGATTTAAAGTTTAACTTAATAAATTGGAGAAAACAAACAACCAAATAATTTGTTCATCGATGATTCATATATAGGTGGGGCATATGCATCGAAGTTGTATCTAACTGATTGTATATAGAAATAATGTCCAGAGCAAAATGCAGGTGGATAAAACTAGAACTGTTCTCAGCTGTATCTTCATGGGTAACTTAAGTGGGAGGTAGAGTAAACAGTGAACTGAAATATTTTATAGATATTTTTTAGCTTGTATAGAAACTTCTGTAAACACCAAAATATAGTTCATTAGTGGATAGTGACTAGCAGTGGGATCCAGGATGCGCATTTCGCGTGTCCTATTTGGGACTCGTCATCTGGATGTACCTGCACTTCTCAGTGATTGATGATGGTCCCACCGAGGCTCGAACCCAGTGCCAATAGTTTTAAACGCCAAAGTGTTATCCATTAGACCACTTGGGCTACGAGAGCCACCTCTTGTGCAACGGGTCATATTAATTATTATTTAATTGAATTTTAGATTTTCGTGTTGATTGATTGGACCGAAGTGCTCAGTCTAACTTTGATATGTCAGCTTCTTGTGTAGATGCTTCGACGACGTCTGGGCATGTAATAAATGATAAATAAAATACAGTTTCAGCGGTTTTGAAGGCAATTAAATATCAATGTAAATAACTCAATAAATAACGCAAGGAATAGTTTTTATAAACCTATGGTACAACAGCTTTTTCTCTCTTTTTAAGAAGCTTGTTGTTTTAACAAAGAAACCGTTATTGTCAATAAATAAGAATATCCTTTTTACAGGTAGATCAGGCTTACATGGTTAACGAAATATCGTGAACTATATTTGTATTATTATTGTTCTCCTGGGTTCCAGTTGGAACATAGATCTTCAGCATCACTATTCTACTTTCTATGGTCCTCTTCAGCTAGTATCATGAGTGAAAATAGTGCCTCATATCCTCCCAAAACAATCACCTTCATGTCACCATCAGACACTCAACACGTAGTTCCCCTTCCACATTCCACTACAGCTATGGTCTGCTCTGTCATGTCACCCAATGGTCTCCTCAGCGTGTGTCCCATCCACCTTCATTCTCTCAGGAACATATGTTGAACAACAACAGGCCCTTGATTGGCTCGTTTCTATAGTTTGTTGCAGCTAATCACTTCTCGCCATCTCATATTGAATATGGAGCTAACGCCAAAGGCATTTGTTGTTAAAAGCCTGCAACAACCTGTCAGAAATGCTTTCCGTTATCCACCAAGTTTGTTGCACATATAGGCAAACTGACTAAACACGGGTGTTGAAAATCCGAATTTTGTTGTTCTTGTTGAGTGTGAACGATCTCGAAATTGAGTTCATAGTGAAGAAAGTCCGCCTTTCCTTTCCGATTTTGATTTCGAACTACATATGTAGTGACAGTATTTGAAATGATGCTTTGTAGATGATTGAAATAATTGTTGGTTGGTTATCTCTATTACCTCTGTCTTGTGTATGTTTACTTAAAGCCTTATCATTGCTGCTTTTCAGCCAGTCTGTAAGTTGTTGTACCTAGAATTATAAAATGCGATTTTCATCACTCGTATTTTGTATTTTATCAAAAATTATTTTTAAAGTGTTTAATTATCTAGTTTACTAAATTTATCACTGTCTTTTCCCCCAAGAAATCTACTTTAAATTAAATAGTCATTCTTCATTTGTTGAATTTTTTTCAGTATGAATTCAAAGAGAAAGGCATCAAGAAACAAAAGGTACTTATCAAAGTTTCAGCTGACGGTGTATTTGTTTATCTAAGGAAAAAACCTAAAGTAAGTGATGGAAATTATTTTTTCCCCACATGTTTTTTTTTAATTTCATCAAAACACTTGTTAGACTTAACATACATTTGTTATGACATACTGTTCTGTTGAATATATGCTAAGCAGTCTAATAATTCATAGAACAGTTTTTGTATACCTTCATTCGATAGTTGTGGAATATTGCATACAACAAATTTTGAATGACTTTACACACAGAAACAGTTCTTCCACCTTCTGATTATTAACAGACAGCTTGTTATAAGGACTAATTATCAACACATCCTCTGATGACAAGAATTTTCGAATTATCTAGTGTTTCGATTCAAAAAAATGGGTTTCATGTAACCGGAGACATTCAAACCAACTTTTTCACTTACTTTAATATTGACATCAGTCGATTAAGTTCACCTTTACCACTATCCATTCCTTTATAAAATAAATATCTCCTATTGATATGTTTTCGGTTGCTAATCTAGATAGAAGATGTAGATACTTTCAGTGTTGATAGCTACTACAGGGAAATACAGTTTTCTGATCTTTTACTCTGTTTTTAGTATATTACAGAAAATTCGGTTAAACAACTGATAACAAAACAGAGGGTTCAAACTTTATTATAGTTTCTAAAATCTGATTTAAGCAATTAACGAGCTTGGTGTGTTCTGTAGAAATGAACATCAAGTCATGCAAAAATAATGCTTCATTGACCGGTATCAATATTACTAACCTTAACACCTCATTTAGTAATAAATGGTAAGTTTTGAAATAATGAAGAAACCTGTGATTTAAAGATATTTTAGTATTAGCAAAAATAAAGGGCACTTTCAGTAATAAGCCCATTTACTACCAAAAGCAATATTCATGGATAATCCCCATCCAGGCATTAATGAAAACAAAACACGTAGATCAGAGAAGAGTCTCTTTTCGGCGAATTCATTTTCTTAGCTGTACAATCGCAAATATATATGCATTGTTTTGTATGTATGTGTACATTAAGTTTGTCAAACAAAGTTACAGTTGGTTAAGGTTACTTTGTTTGACAAACTTAATGTACACATACATACAAAACAATGCATATATATTTGCGATTGTACAGCTAAGAAAATGAATTCGCCGAAAAGAAACTCTTCTCTGATCTACGTGTTTTGTTTTCATTAAAAGCAATATTCACTTTATTCTAAACAATATCTGACTATATTTATTATAATTATCATTTCCTTGGGTTCCTAGTGGAAAATAGGGCTTCAAATGAACGTCTCCACTTGCTTCTCTCTTCCTTCTGCTGTACTTTTCACCTAAATCCATCCATGTTAGTCCATACTCTTTCAACTCCTCTTCACACGGTCTCCTCCATATCACCCTTGCACTGACGTCCCACTCGCCACGTACCTCCCTTTCGGCCTGGTTTTACTCGAGCAGTGGCCTGACGCACGCGCGATGTCACCAACCGGCCTCCTCAGCGAGTGTCCATCTCCATCCATCTCCACTTTCTCCTGCATATTTGTTGGTTGGCGATTGGTTCTTGTTTTGTTTGTCTGTTCCCATAGTTTCTTGTTGGTAGATTCTTTCCGACCCAACCATCTGATCTTCAGTATAGATCCAGCGAATACAGTTGTTGATAAAGGTCTGCAACCTGTTAGAAATAATATCTAACTATAAGCGCATTCCAATTTCAAATAATAGTAATCTGTATATTGGACTCACTTGAGTTAGTGATTTCTGAAAATAATACAACGAACTCATAAAGAAAGTCTTATCTTATGATTTTAATTTTGTCACTTAACAATCATGGAAAAACTGTGAATTAGATTAAAAGTTCGCTTTTAAAGAACCAGAACTGATGTCTATTATTGATAGCACTAACCGTTTCAGTCAAAAGGATGAAACCAGATCATGTCATCGCTCATCTCAGGCAACAGAATATTTTATTTTTCTTGACTTTTCCGTTGGAAAAATAGGAAAAGTATGTAGTTTACACTTTTCGTCATTTGGATATTTCAAGTTTTTTTTACTAATGCAGATGGCTTCACAATCATGGAGTAAACACTTTAAAATGGCTGCGGTGAAGAAAATTTTCTTCCCGATGAAGTCATCAGCTAGGCTGTACATTCGTGTATTTATGGCTAATGGCTGAGGAAGTTTGACAACTATTTTCCGCGAAGGGATAAATCAATAACATTGCAAATAGGGATTGAATTGTGATAACAGAATAAACAGAAAGATCGAGTGAGAAAATAGTGTGATCATAATTACTGAGAAAATTGACCCTATTTTGCAATTAGGGATTAGAAATATAGTATTAACAAAATAGATACGAAGTTTGGATAGAAAATATATATTAGTAAAAGTGGGAGAAATAAACGGGAATTTTGTATAAGAAACCAATATTGAGAGAATCGACCACTTATGATAGCCATGATGGGGACATTGGTTGGGTGTATTTCTTTGGGATACATAGCATTAGCCTGATTTTGGGAATCCCTGGTGCCTCAGTTATGCTTATATGCCATGATCTCACTGTCTTTGATATGTTTGATTGGATCTTGTAAATGACTTTGAGGGACCTTAGAAACGCAGCTGGATATCGTGCATTCACCAGATGTTATGTTACCGAACAACACACACATCAGCATCCTGTCTCTGCTAGCCAGGTTGGAAAGTGTTTCCAAGTGCGCTATACAGATGAATACATTATACTCAGTTCCACAAGATCATATGAACCGGTATGTGCATATTGAAGTGGACCAATGCGACATCTTGTCTTTCTCGATCTGGTTGAAGAATTTCTTGCAGGGAAATGTGGTTTGTAGACCGGAGATGAAGTATCTTTTAATGACAGACTCCAAAAGCCATTTATAGAGAATTTCAGTTTCAGCAACACTTTTAAATTCGATATTAAGCATCACTATCTCTTAAGGGTGACTTGGATCTATTCAAGGGCTTTATTTGGTTAAAGATTTTTGTCTGTGAATCTGTATGGGAAACCATTTCTCACTGAAATGCCTCAGTGCATATTTTCTGTATTTTTAAAGAGACAGAGTACATGAAATTCTACTTTCTGCTTAGAAGAATGCAACTGTAAAAATTGATAAACTTTTAATTCTACGTCAGTACTTTGTATACAGATCTCCTCAGTGACTTATCAGCAAATCTTCTCAGGTGAACAGCAAGAAAACGGAACAGTAGGCTGTAATGAAAAGGATGTAGGGGAGGGGCATCAATGAAGGTTTGGAGTTGGTTTTCTAGATCCAATTCTCATGACAAATAGTGAAAGTATAACTGATTTATTTCTTGTAAAGATGAAGGTCACTGACAGTTAATTGAAATTCATAATTCAGTGGAACCTCCACACACATACGAAGAACTTCTTGCCTTTCAGCAAGTCATCTGCATGTTTAATTTTTCAGGAACCAAAAGAAAGGCTTTAAAAGAGCAGTATATAAATAAATGAGTCAGACGTATGAAATTAACAAGCGGGATAATCAGGAAAATGCTGTACAGTTAGACAGTAACTAATATTATAGATATAAGTATAAAACTTGGGCACTGTGGTGGAGTATAACTCCATTATGGATAAGATTTTATTTTGATAAATCACACAGTGTTGTACAGTTATATTAACTGATGACGTTTTGAGCACAATTTATTGCTCATAATCGTATCAAGGTATTCACACACCTTTTTGCTTCATTTATATACATGAGTAAAACTGATTAGACATTTGAAGAAAAATCAATACAAGATAAAGTACATTCCGTGTTATCAGTCAAAGACAATCAGATGGGAAATAAGTCTTTTTATTGCCAAAATAAGTAACTTGTTGGAAGGTTATATTGTGAACTGAATACAATTTAACATTATTTATTATTATCCAATTTGACTGGTGCTAATAATACCTTCCATATTTCTGATATTTGCGTTAAGTCATTTCTGTTGTATATGTTGGGTGTAGACTCGATGAACAAGGATTCAGTAATTAACGTCTCTTTCCACCTACACATATTACTGTCTAGAATTTTGACTCTGTCCCACTCACACTACTGTGTGGTTGTGTGTTAATGCGTGAAGTGCAGTTGCTGAGCTTTTTTCTAAATTACTTATCTTCTCGGGTGGGGTCAACCATTCTTACCTTAGCTAAATTCTTATGTTCTGACAATCTGACCACCCAGTCCGATCTACTACTTTCACCTATGTAGTTGACCTAACTCATAGTCATTGCAGGGTATTTTGTAAATTATATTATTTTGTCTAGTTGGGTCAACCAACAGGGTCCTTTAACCTACAGAGCTTGTCCTATCTGAGTGAGTTTGTAGGTTTAAATACCACCACCCTAATTCCCGCTTTATTGAGAATCCTACGTAGGATTTCAGATGTCCCCTCTTTATATGGTATAACAGTAGGTGACTTATATTCTCTCTTATCTATGTTATCAATACTAGTTTCATAATTATTTTTATTTTGCTTTCGGCCTTTACTGGTCTTCCTAATGAATTTTATAGGATATTTATTTGATACCAACTCTTCTTTTATCTGTTTTATTTCATCACTTAGGTTGTTTCTTGTACTACTTAATGCTACTGTTTGTTTTGTTTGATGTTTACCTAAATTTGCCTTCACAGACAACGAACGAATGAGATGAATTAAAGTCTAAATATCTATTAGAATGAGTTGGCTTTTTATTAACTCTATTGTTCAGTTTACCTTCTCCTGTTCGTTTTATTTTACAATCTAACATAGCTTAAAAAAGTAACATTTATTTTTTCTGCTTACATTTATCACTAAATTTTGGTTTCAGTCCTTTCCTCTTGAAGTGTTGTTGTATTCGATCGCAATGGCAGCATTGGTGAAATAAGCGTCAAGTAATGAAATGCCAATAAAAGAAAGCACATTTTTAAGTTACATAAGACTATTTGTCTACGTTGAATTTTCTTACCATGAAAATATCTTTAACTGCATTCCATAATTAATGAAAATGTTGATAAAGTGAATATGGTGAACATTTTGTATTGTTC